AAACAGCAACACCAGCCTTTGATAGTGAGCCCCCTGGGAGGCTCATGACCAGGATGGCTCTTTCTGGGAGCTCAGAATGGGGAAACAGAGAGCAGCTGGGACAGCAGCAGCATCCCCCAAAGTGCAGGGCAACAGAGCAAGACAGGCAAAGGTGGCCATGACCAAACTTTACTTTCTGGCTCAGACACTTCCTGGCTAGAGCTGTGGGGCTGAGATGCTCAACTCGCTGGTCCTTGGTTTCCTTGTCTGTATATGTGGGTAAGAGTCCCCTCCCACTGGGCTGGGGAGAATCAGTGAAGTGCCTGTCACAGAAGCAAGACAATTTGAGCCAAATCTTCAGAGTCAGGCTTGGTGGTGTGTGCTCATCGTCCCCCTCTGGGAAGACTGAGATGGGAGGATCTCTGTGGTTTGCTGGCCTGTCTGTCAAGCCTGAGAGTTGGGTCAAGTACCACACAGTTTCTTCTCAGGCTCCATTCTTTGCCACCAGGAATATAAGAATGACAGTACTTCCCTTTGCAGGGCTAGAGAGTTCCTTTCTTCTGCTACTGAGTCATACTGAGTGTCCTGCCCAAACAACCATTTCTGCAAGTCCATTCACCTAATGTCCTCATCCATGTAAAGTTCATCACAACTGTCTGTTAGCCAACATAACCCAAGCAACCTGTGTCCACTGACCTCATCTAACCCTTCTCTCTCTCCAGCTATCTATTCATCCACCCAAAGTCCACCTAGAATCCATCCATCCATCCATCCATCCATCCATCCATCCATCCATCCATAAACTCACTTCCATCCACCCACCTTTCCAGACATGTGATCCTGGGCACCTGGGAGACTGCAGGAGAAGCAAGTTGGAGGCCAGACCTCAGTCACAGGCAACTTCTCTCAGCTGTCTGCAAAAGCTGCTGAGAATCCCATCTCTGTCCGTCTCTTGCTTTCATGTATCTTTAGTTATATACTAGTTTTTGAGGCAGGGTCTCATTCTTTGTGGCCCTGGCTGGCTTGGAACTCACAATGGAGAGAGCAGCCTGGGTTCAAACCTGTGGTAATCTTCCTGCTTCTGCCTCCTAGAGTGACAAGCGTGTGTGAACACTTGGGTGACAGGCTTGTGTCAGAGCAACCAGCCAGGACTTGACTCTTGGCTTTTGCTTGCCCTCTGTTTCCAAAAATCTCCCTGTAGGAGGATCCATGTTCAGGCCCTCCCTCTGGGGTCTCGTGTTAGTCAATGATAGAATGTTCCGGAAGCTTTGCCATCCACTCTGCCCTCAGTACCTTGTCTTACCACACTCTCAGGACTTTATTAATAGCCTATTAGTGGGTAATAAATAAATGCATTTGGATGAAAAATCACCCAGGGGTGGTTGAAGGAGGAGAGGAGGGGTGAGCTGGGGGCATGGGGTGGGTGTCATCTCCTCAGAGAGTGTCTCTCAGCACCTGCCCAGGTGGGGATGCTCCTGCTGGGTCCCTGCTGTGCAGTGGGCCCTGCGCCCCTCCCCGCAAGCCTGCCTCTCATTAATCTTGATGAGTTTTCTGCTGAGTATTTTTCCAGGGCTTTCAAATCGCTCACTAATTGCAATTAATCACTTACTGAAACAGATGTCAGGAACAATGGGATGGGATGGTGGGGGCTTGATGAAGCTGTCAAGAGAGGGCGCGTGGGTGGCTGGGCGCTGGGTGCTGCCCTAGCCTGCCCAGGTGGGCTAGGAGGAGCCTGCACAGAGGAGGGGGTGTTCTGACAGAACAGAGGCAGTCACATGAAAGCCTAGGGTCAGAGGGGAGACAGGTGGATGCTGAGGGCTCCACATTGCCCCCTGGAGCTCCAGGAAAGGCTTGAGATTGTTGTGAGGCTGGGCCAGACTTGGGCCATGACTCTCACCTAACAATTGTGTTTGCAGAGTATGTCAACATTGGAGATGAGATCTGAGCGCTTGGGAAGCTGAGGCAGGAGGATGCCGCCAGGCCCTGTCTTAAACAAAACCAGATTTGAAAGGAGAATCTGAACTTCTAGATTCTCTTTGTAGAGAGGTAGCATTGGCTGACAGCCAATGCCTGTGGCTGACACACCTGTGTGCCAGGCCTAGACACCCGACTGTGTCACAGACCCTCCAGCTGTCAGCAGCTCTAGTCACTATGGTCCCTTTGTGGGCTAGCTCTCTCTCCCTCTCTTAGCAGAATTCCATGTAGCACAGGCCATGTAGCTATGGATGACCTTGAACTTCTGATCTCCAGCCCCCTGCCTCCCCAGCCCTACTTTTCTCAACTGTTGAGATGACAGACAAGGTCACCATGCCTGGTTTATGAGGAACTAGGGTTCGGAACCCTGGGCCTTGCAGCCACATCTCCAGCCCCACGTGTGTCTTATGGCTTCACGTCATTTTCATACAGACTGCATTCCTCACCATCACAGTGGATCTGTTTCCTGGTCTGCACAGCAGGCTCTTGCATTGTGGGCTGTAGGGACTGTGGCATTGTATCAAGCTTGTGTCTGGGGCCTGTCATTCTGGGAGTACAGGGCAATGTTAGATATGGCATACTGTGGTGCCCACAGCACCCCTATGTCCCGAGGACCAGGGAGCAAAGCAAGTGAATGAGTCCCTATACCAGCTCACCCCTTTGTCTTTGCTTATCTACTCTGTGGTAGACCCTGTTGGCAGCCCCAAGGACGTGCACTGAACAAAATGTATCAGTGATGGAGCTGACAGTCCAGCAAGGAGACAGAGAGCAAGTGCAGGCATCCATGGCCTTGTGCTCCAGGACCCAAAGCTGAAAAACACAGAGCAGGGACGTTGTTAGAGGTCCCCGAGGGAAGGGGGAAGGCCTGGCAAGGCTGGGCAGTGAAGGGACTGTGTAGAGACCTGCAGAGAAACAAGTGTAACTGGTACAAAGGCCCTGAGGCAGACTGGAGAGTAGGGCTGAGCAGTGAGCAAGGGGATGCAGAGAGGACTGGGTGTGTGAGGTAGGTCATGTGACATCTGGGTGCCAGTGTGGGGACTCTGCTTTTGTTCCCAGAGACGAGGGCATCATAGGCAAGATCTAAACAGAGAGCTGTCATGGCTGCCCCACAGCCCTGCAGGGATGAATACAGAGTCCTCAACTCTGTGCCCTCCATTTCCTGGAGTATGTTTCTGGTGACTGTGTGGCTCTGTCCTGGATCCTTCCCAGGGGCTCCTTGCTCTCCAGGTGTAAGACAGCTGTGTATACAAGATGAATGCCACACACAGAATTTGACCGTGCACATCTGGCCAGTGAAGTGAGGAGGGGCAGGAGTCCACCTGGGGCCCTTAGTATCTGTTGCTTAGATGTAACCATAGTGAGTCACATGGTACGTAGGTGTAATCTACAGAGCTGAGCTGGGCTGTGTCTTGTGCACACATGGGTCACACATGTGTGTATGTTTGCCATGTGTTGCTGGATGAAGGGGTTCTTTAAAACAAAATTTTACATCTGTCTGTCTATCATCTATCTATCATCCATTCATCCATCCATCTCTCTCTCTCTGTGTTCCAAACTTGCACACACACCTGCCATGGTGCACTTGTGAAGGTCAGAGGGCAACTTTTGGTAGTCCATTCTTTCCTTCGACCATGTGTTGCCAGGGTATCAAACTCAGGTTTATTGAGCTTTGTGACAAGTGTCCTTACCTACCTAGCCTTCTCACTCGCCCAGGGATTCCCCCACCCCTACCTCTCTGTGCATACCCAGTGACAAGGGCAGCTTCCCCATGGCTGTCAGTGCCCAGGTTCACAAGTCTTATCTATAGGATCAGAAGTATTTGCCCCTCATCACTAACCTTCCCCAGCTGGACTCTCCCATGTGAACTGGTTTCTGGGTTACCACCACTGGAGGTTGGAATGAATCAAATGGAGTACCCCAAAGTAGCAGCTTACCTGCTGGGCATGTACATGATCAGAGACTGTTCTGGGGAGCCAGCTTGCAGCCTTCTCGTCACCCCAGAAACTCTATGGGGGAGGGAGGTGTGACTCAGTGGGTAGAATGCTTGCCGAGCATCATATAAACCAGGCACAGCACACACACACTGGTGAGCCCAGCACTCAGCAGGTGGGAGGAACAAAGCCCAAGGTTATCCTTAACTACATAATGAGTTCAAGGTCAGTCTGCGATGTCTCAAAAAGGCCCTGTCTCAAAAAGAAAAATAACCGCACAGGGACCCAAGTCACCTTGCTGCTGGGGTAAGAGAATCAAGACCAGCAACTCCAGCTGCCGGCAGTAAACATAAAGCAGCCAGGGGAAGATCCTGGGTACCCCACAAGGAAGGATGGGGTACTGCTGTGATACACAGTTCACAGGTGCTCAAAGTGAGTGTGATGGCTGACGTCACTATCCAGAGCCCTAGAGCTAGTGAGCAGTGGAGCCAAGCCTGGAATCTCCGAGGTCTGGCTCCAAAGCATGGACTACACAATAGACACCTGACCCCCACTGCCCCAGGACCATCCTTTGTTGGTACCACCAAGTCAGGCAGAGCCAGGCTGGACCAAGGCTGAGCTTTCCCTGGACTCCACCTGCTTGATTTTGCAGACACTCAGAGCTCAGAGCCTCACCAGCCTGCTGAGATGGACAACCCTGCTTTCCATGCATCTATCCATCCACCCATCCATCCACCCATTCAGCAATTCTTTCATCCATCCCTCCATTTCCCAACAACCATCTATCCATCTATCCTTTAACCATCTGTCTATCTAACCTTCACCCATCCATCCACCCACCTGCCCATCTATCCATTATCTATCCTTTTACCCACTCCCCCACCTCCCATCATCCACTTGCCCAGCCATCATTCATCCATCACCTGTCCATCATCCATTCTTCCTTCCCTCCCTTCACTCATCATCATCTATTCAATATTTCACTTCTTTATTCCTTTATTTCTCCAAACATCCATCTGTCTAGCCATCAATCCATCTACCCATCCATCCATACACACATCCATCATCTATCCACACATCCATCCACTCATTCTTGGAGAAAGCAGTTGGCAGGGCTGGTTATGAATTGTGTCTATCTAAAGAATGAATCCCGGTCATGACAAGCTGAGCGACCATGGACAGACCACCTCACCCCTTCATGCCTCGGTTTCCCCTTCTGAGGAGGGGAATGGCTCAGCACAGATCATCTCACTCAGGTTTCCACCTGTTTCTTTTCTTGCTGTGGGTTCCCAGTCAGCCCCAGTGTTCTCCTCTTTGCAATGGGAAACAAAACAATCCCCTCATTTACTTAAGAGGGCAGGAGAGAGGCTGTTCCACACCACACGGCACTGGGAGCTTACATGGCTCTGTAAGGGTGGCTGGCTCTCCTGACTTGTCATGGAGATGGTAAGGCGGCAGTGTATAAGTGACAGTGTTTTTACTCTCCCACCCCTGCAGCTGACTTCCAGGGCACACTGAAGCCGTTCAGTGACTGAGTATCACTACAGGAACCCGGTGCCCTCTACTTCAGGAAGTCATGAAGTTTCAAAGGTGACTCTCCCCTCAAGGTCACCCTTGAAGATCCAGCCCAGCAGCACCCTCTTCCAAGGCTCAGCTGGGTCTCTGGGTCTTATTTCTTTGCCAGCCTGCAGGCAAATCTGTCTCCTGCCGGGACTTTCTCCACACTCTGTGTGAGTATCCTTTAACTTGTGACCCCCAACACCTTTCTGACACTGCCCTATGATAAATCCACTCTGTGAGGCCGTGGTATGGGTTCCTGTACCCTGGCTGGGGGAAAAGATCTGGCAGCTGTTTCACAGCTGTGGCCACAAAGGAGGAAAGCAGGGACACAGGAGACAGGGATGGAGCCGCACCCAGGGTGGCAGAGCAGAGCAGAGCCGAATGCTAGCGCACCCTCCCTGGGCATCCCTGTGTCTGACTGGCTCCAGCTGCCTGGCAGGTGAGGCGAAGCCCGCCTGCCACCGAAGGGGCCCTGACACATGTTAAAATAAATATTCTGCAGCAACGATGTTCCATATGTATGACTTCGTGGGGATGATTTTGCTGCTGATGGCTGCGAGCGACAGCTGCGCGGGTCGTGCTGGCAACACAGGCGCATGGTGGGGCGGCAAGGGGGGCACCGCGGCATCTGGCGACTCAGGGGGGGCAAGGCGCTGTGTGCCTGTCAGGGCTCGGCGTGGGCACATCAGCGATTCCGGGGGACGGCTGGAGCAGGTGTTTCCAAGCAGCCTGTTCGTAATAATTACTTTTAGATTGTTTTAAAGTGTTTGAGCAAGATCCTGGCGGGCTGGCAGGGAGGGAGAGGGTGGGGCTGGAAGGCCTATCGGGTGAATCCCACCCACCTGCGGGCACACATGTGGTCTATGCTGCATGCTCAGTGGGTCCATGTTCACACATCCACACCCTGGCATCCTGAAGCCCAGGCCTAGTGAGTTGCTTCCAGAAGGTCCTGTCCCTTACCAGGAACCTTGTCTCCTCAGGACCCTTAAAGAAATGCAGAGGTCAGGGTCGACTTGTTAAATATTGTGATTTACAACTCCTAACCCAAGAACCTTCAGCCTCCGCTTTCAAGCAAGTAGTGTGTTGGGGTACAGCCTCTGTCTCCTGTCCCCCTGGGCCTGAGGGCCACGTGCTCCACTGCCTAGTGGATGGACAGAGGTTAGATGTGAATGGCTGTCCCTGAGGATGGGAGCTACATTCCTGATTCCTTCAGGGCAGGATCTCATTTTGTGTGACCAGTGTCTCTGAGAAGTGTCTGTCATCTGTGCTGAGTGGACAGTGTGGGTCCTACCTCACCTGTGCCACAGCTGGAACACCAGACTAGACATTCACTTGAGCTGGACACAACAGTCTGAGACTGTTCTCTGAGAAGCTCAGCATGGACCACAAGGGCCAGGGCTGACTTCCTGGCTATGTCCAGTCTCTGTTATAAAGATGTGCCCCAGCCAGGTGCTGGCACACGCCTTTAATCCCAGCACTCGGGAGGCAGAGGCAGGTGGGTCTCTGTGAGTTCGAGACCAGCCTGGTCTACAGAGCCAGTTCCAGGACAGGCTCCAAAGCCACAGAGAAACCCTGTCTCAAAAAACCAAAAGATGTGCCCCAGAGATGTGCCAAGGGCTTCATTTAGGGGACGGAGTACAAGAAAGGTCCTTTGGGGTGAGAGATCCAGCCCCAAGACTCAAGAGGGGCCACAGATTGGGTGTGTGGGCTGATTTGCACACAGACAGGCTAACATGCACACTCAACATGGTCGTCTTAGCAGATGACTACTCACTGGGCTTTGTCTTAGCTTGCACTGTAATCTCTGTCCATGACCCCCAGTTCTTCTCTGATGGTGTTTTACAGGCTGCCATTGGGCCCAACCCCTCAAAGGCACTCATGGATCTGGCCATACTGACTCACTGGGTCGTAGTCCCAGCACACCCCAACTGGCTGCAAACATGAGGGGAACACACTCAGGCTGGAGTGGTTTGAGAAGCTCTCCAGGGATTAGTGGTACAGTAGCAAGAGGCCACACAGATGATGAGGCCACTAGTTGTGGCCTATGGCCTGCCCTGTGGGACCTAAGGGACTGTTTTCTCATACCAGGTGTCTGTGCAGATTTAGAAAGGGCTCAACAGCCTCATTCCTCTCCTGCCAAGATGGGCCTCTCTGGCCATGTCCAACCCACAGAAGGAACAGAGGTGCCCATATCTCAGTGACAGTCTGGGTCAGGACTCTGGTCCCAGGAGGCTGCTCTGCCCTGTTCCCCCATAAGCACCTGAGGCCAGGCTCATCTGAATGCCCCTTGGTATGGCTCTATGGGCTGAGGTCTGGTACCAGTGGAGTTTATAGCTCACCAGACACATCCAATAGCAGCTGTGGGGCCTGTGCAATCTGTTGCCAAGACACAGCACCTAGGCAGGTGAGCAAGTGGGTGCTTGGCCCTGCCCTGCCAGAGCCCTGTAAGCCTGCCTAGTTAATCAGAAGCCAGAAGTCTCCCTTCTGCAAGCCTGATTCTCAGAGTCCACTGTACCAGCTGTGGGCAGTAGTATCTCAGATGTTAGGGGAACCTGTGCAGCTTCGGCCCAAAGTCCTAAGTGCCTCCTGAAGCCCTGGGAGCCTGCCTCGACTCCTTCACTACCTCACCCCATCTCTCCTCACTCCCTGACCCCAGCTCCCAAGTACACTGGGGCCACAGGGCCTTTGTACCTACAGTGGCCTTGCCTGGGATGCTTTCTCTCAGGCCTCATGCCTCTTCAAGCTACCCACGTAGCCTGTACAAGGTCCCTAGCACAGTACCAGGCCAGGAGTGGCTGCGTAAACACCTGAACCATGGAACCCCAGCCAGCGACCCCTCCCCCTCCCCACTGCCCCCAGGCAGCTCTTGTCACTAGGCCTCCCGGGGAGGTGTGCCATCCCTCATTTAGTGGGTGAGGGGGGCACCCCCAGCTCCCTCCCCACGGAGTCTTTTACTGTCAGTCTTGCTGAGCTGCGGTCCTGACAGCCTCCCGGGCAGGACTCATCTTTTATTCATGCCGATAATGTCAACCATGTGTGCACACCGCAGAGTCACTTAACCCATTAGAGGAACTACCTTGGCGGCATGCCACAGGGAAAGCCGGGAGTGGGTACTACCCGGGCAGGTGTCCCCACAAGGCAGCTGGGCACAGGTCCACTTGGGTGGGACTGGGACAGGATATGTCCCACATTTACCAGGTGGCCATAGAGGTACTGGCAAATATCCAAGGAGGAGGTCCCAGGTCACGGCAATGACCTTTGGGGACATCCGGGGACTGGATGAGAAAGCTGGGATGCCTTCCCCAAGCGCTCATGGTGACTGACTGGCTCTTTCAAGATGAAGGGCTCTCCTAAGGGAACCAGTAAGCTGGAGACACAGCTGGCCTGCCAACTCCACCCAGGGGCAGCCAGCAAGATAAAGATGATCCATGGTGACAACACTCCTGACTTGTGTTCACCACTCCAGGTGAAAACCACTCACTGGGCAGAAAAGGCAACTGTCACCACGAGCCCCATCTTCTCTTCCCTGCCAGGTCAAAGCAGCCTTCTAAGTGTTTGTTGGCTCATAAGTGGTGTACTGAGCTGAGGGCCCTTGTTTGAGATAGGGCCACGCACTTTTCTGTGCCTCGGCTTGTTGAATGATGGGGTAGAGAGGGTGTTCCCCATGAAGGCGTCTAGACATTTGATCTTCCCACAGCCCTGGCAACAATGGTAGGCAGTTATTATTCTCACCTACAGAGGAGGAAACTGAGGCCACAAGGCTAGGAGGCAGGGTACCCCATGCTGAACAAGGTGGCCTCACACAGTGGGGGCACATTAGTCTCCATGGCACCCCCTGGTGGAAGCCATCACCACTGCGGCTACCAGTAATGTGGCTCCCCTCTCTTGAGGAACCTAGTGGAGCCTTCTCACCCTCTCTGCTCCCTAAGGTAGGTGGCTGCTGAGTGATTCAGCCTTATGTGCCTGTTGCTGCCTGGCTGGGTTCAGATGGCACATAGCCTGGGGTTGGGGAGGTCAGCCCTGTACCCACCCTGGGCTTGAAGTCTCCGAAACCCGTGTCCCTTGAGGTAAAGGGAGGTAGGAAAAGCCTGGCTGGGTTCCACGGAAGCCTCAAAGCCACATGAAATTGCCAGCTCAACTCTGGGACACAAGGGGAAAGTGGGGCAGGGCAGGCTCACCAGAGGTCTGGGAACACGCTCCTGTCTCTCCCAGCTTCCAGTACTCGCCCAGAAGCCCACTCCTTTGCTTTCCTTGCGTGTGGAAGCTCAGCTTGCTCCTCTGCACCAGACCAACTCATGACTGCTGCAGACACTTGAACTCGCAGTAAGCTCTCCTTCACTCCAGGGAGACTGGACAAGGAAGCATGGCCCCACAGTCAGCAATGGCTCAGCCCCTGCCTAGCCTCCCCTCAATAACTCCCAAGTCCTTGTCTTTCTGGCTCCTTGGCTCCCTGCCATTTCCCTTGCCCAACAACAGCATAAACTCTGGTGTCCTGGCCACATAGAGGCTTGAGTGCTATCCCCAGATCCACCCTATGGCTGTGCTTTTCTCCCAAGAGTCTCCCCCTTGGCTTAGGGCTTCCTTCCCTGCCTTTCATGTCGAATGGGAGCTGCCTCTGCCTTTGAAGCCTGGCTTGGGCACTGCCACTTTCAAGAAAGCCCCCTGATTCCATTTCAGGTGTGTTTGCTGTGCCTCAGTTTCCTGTCATTGGCCTTCTCTAGTCACTGTGAGGTGTCCACAGGAGGGGTTTGTCTCTCAGCTCACATCTCACACTGACCACTGTGATCCTGTGGGGTGAGCATGTCTGGTGCTGGGACTGAGGAGATGGTGCAGTGGGTAAAGTGCTTGCAGTGCAAGCATGAGAACTTGAGTTCAAATCCCAAAACCCACATGGAAAATGCAAGCATAGTTCTGTGGGACTATAATCCCAGGGCTGGGAGGTAGGCAAGTCCCTGGAGCTTGCTGGCCCACCAGCCTTGCCTATTTGGAAAGCCTCAGGCCAGTGGGAGAACTCACCTCAAAAAACAAACAACGACAACAAAACACACACACACACACACACACACACACACACACACACACACACACACCCCCAAGGTGTTGGACACCAGGCAGTCATGTGGTACACAAACATACAGACAGACAAAACACCCATGCACAAATTTAGAAAAAAATAAAACATGGGGTTGGGGTTGGGGTGGAAGAGGAATAAGAGATGGTAGAGGGATGAATGCAACCAAAATATAGAAATATAACATGAAATTCATTCTGTAGCCTAGGATGGCCTCAAGCTAATGGACCTTGAAGTTATCAAAGAATAGATTAATAAAAAGAAGAAAAAAATAAAACAACTCAGAGTGGACTGTAGCACCTAAAGAATGATATCTAAAGTTGTCCTCTGGCCTCCACAGGTACACACACACACACACACACAGACAGACACACACACACAAACACACACACACACACACACACACACACACACAGAAATAGACACACACACACAAATGAACAATGTCTGGTGCATACCCCATTCTGCTGCTCTGCCTGCTCTGGACGGTGCACAGCCCCAGCAGCCCAGAGCAGTTCCATGAGTCCTGCAGGGGCCCTATCAGGGAATACTACAAGGTTTGGATGTAGACCCTGGACTCCACATAGTTTTTGTTTTCTGAGACATAGTTTCAAGTATCCCAGGATGACGTTTTTCTCACTGATCTTCCTGCCTCCACTTCCCAAATTCTGGGGTCACAGGCCTGTACCCCCATACCTAGTTTATGCGGTGCTGGGGATGGAGCCCAAGGCTTTGTGTTGCTAGGAAAGCTCCTATCCCATTTGTTCATGTTTTTTGTTTGTTTGTTTGTTTGTTTGTTTGGGATTTTTAGACAGAACCTCTGTATGTAGTCCTCACTGGCCTGGAATTCACTCCATAATCTAGGATAGCCTCGAGCTAACAATCCTCTTGTCTTTCTTGTAAGTGTTATGATTGCAAGAATATGTCACCGCACATGGCCCTGTGGGTGTCTTTTAAGTTCTTGTGTGATTTCAACTGGGCTTGGGCAGAGAGGCCCTGAACTAGGCAAAGAAAGGCTAGTGTTATTTCCTTCCTGGCTCCACCCTCTACATGCCCTGCCCACTGCTGGTCCTGCAGAGACCAAGGCGGTGGTACCATCCCAGAATGCTGCAGTTGTAAAGCATCTCCCAGTCCCCCGCCTTGCCACCATCTGTGCAGCCAGGACAGGGTTCTGCTCCAGACTTGAGTGTCCAATGCCAACTGGATCCCACCAGGGATCATGCAGGCAGCACTTGGGGGCCAGCCTTGCCTGCCAACTCCATTCCCGCCCAAAGCTCTCTCCTGGCAAGCAGACCTCTCGTAGACCCGCCAGAACTTGGAAAGCTTTGCTGTCCCCTGTAGCCAATCTCTCCCCCAGTGCCGCCAGGCCGCTCTAAGGAGCCAGCAGCCTTGCTCAGCTGTCAACAGGATTCTAGACTGTCCTCTGTCCACAGGCAGCAAGGGCTGCTGGGACAGCCTGCAAAGGATGGTGACTGTTTGTCCTTGTGGCCATGGACCACATCCTTTAGGTGGTTCTTGTTTGATATCTAGGGGTGACAGGGAGGCCAGGGCCCTGGAAGCCACAGCCTGTGAGCACTATTTCTACATTGGCAGGATGGCTTCCTGAAAGAGGTGGGGCTTCCGCTCAGCTTGGTCAGGATAGGTGGCCAGGAGGGAGACTGAGGTGGACCAAGAAATTATTCAGGCTGGGGCATTTGATGCCTGCTGTGATAAGGCTACAGCGGCCCTGAACTCTCTCCTCCTGCCTCTGCCTCCCATGTACTGAGTTTACACGTGTGAACACTCACCTGCTGCATTTCTGCACATAGAGTGGGAAGGGGCACACTTGTTGGACTTACCCAGGTGTCCCATCCATCTCAGATCAGTGGCACACTGCTCAGGTGATACCTACATGGGCATGAGACTTACCCACCCAGAACTCTCTCTGTAAACCAGTCTGGCCTCAGATGCACAGAGATCCACCTACCTCTGCCTCCCGAGTGCTGGGATTAAACATGTGCATCACCACTGTGCAGCTCAAATCAGTTTTATAAGGCACACGGCCCGTTAGGATGGTGGTACATGCATGGCATTGGCAATACCTATGAGGATGTACGTGTTCTGGGGATAGTCCTGCCAGCCCTGTCCCTACTCACCCTACCTCGTAGCCACATTAAAGGCTCCTGGGTTCAGTTCCAGTAACCTTGGCCCTATAGATCACCCTTCAGAGCAGCAATTCTCCTGGGAGTCCCTGGGTTTGCAAGGCCTGCCAGCTTTTAGACATGCAGGGGCTCTGCTTGCCTGGCCCCCTGAATCAAAGAGACAGCAACTTGGGCTGTGACCTATGGTCCAGTGGTGCCAAATCTGCTGAAGCCTGACAACCTCTGCTATGGCTCTGAGGATGTCAGGGACCCACAGTCCTGACCACTCCCACCGGGCCAACAAACCCAGGAACGCTAGTGAAGGTCTGACTCCTGAGATGGCCTAACCTGGGCACCTCCCTCCCCCAAGGAACTGTGGAGACTGCAGTGAAGCTGGATTCCTGTAGCTGCTCTGTATACATGTGTACCAGCCCTTCCAGGGTCACAGGAAGCCAAGTTGGAGCTGACAGGACTTAAATGTCCATGTCAGGGAGGGCAGTTCACAATTTCTAGAGGCAGAGGGCATTAGCATGCAGTGCACAGAGATCAGGTGTCGCTCGACACCCTACAAGGCACAGGCCAACTCCCATCAGAGAGTATGTCCTGACAAAAGGGTCACTGTGTTGAACTCTATGCAATTCCTGGGTTTCCAAGCCATTCCAGGGCCCGAGAGCTGGGGTCTTCTTCACACAGGTGCAAGCCAAGGGTTTTGATACTGCTGTTATTTTATCCTTGGGGGACAAGGAAGAACCCTGATGAGCACCTGCAACAGTGTGTGCCCAGCATGACCACCCTTACCCAGCACACCGCAGAGACCAAGTATGGCCGTCCTTACTGTGGCCAATGGTCTGTCAGGTGTTTCCACATTTGCTGCCTGCCCAGAGCAGGCTGGACTGAGCCCTGGTTCCCATGCTGCCGACACTTGCTCTCACCTGGGGCTCCCTGTGAACAGAGCAAAGCCTGGAGCAGCACTGCATTCAACCTTGAGAAATTAGGCCGGCCTCCCCACCACCCACCCTAGGCCTCCCCCTCCAGCTCACTAGGAGCCCCAGTTCCGAGAGAGGCTCATATTTAATAACGCAATTTATATTCCACTCTCAACATAAACTATTGTAAAGGCGCTCTAATGTAAAAATACATCTGGCTTGTCAATAGTTTATCTTCTGGATCCGCATCTAAATCCCTGGGCCTTTTTGACTTATGGCTGCGCCAGTGTCTAATGAATAAAAAGGCGCAAATTATAGGCCCGGCTGTAATGCTCATCATAAAATTAGACGATAGTTGCAAAAGCCGCATTCTCCTGCCCACAGCGCGCGAGGGCTGGCCATAAATAAAGTGTATTTAATGTATCCCAGGGCCGCGCAAACCTAGGAAACGGCATGTTATTGCCCGGCCTTCCACGGGTCCACCATGAGTTCAATGAAGTGATAACGGATCCATCATGGGGATTTATGTGAACTGTCTCCTTGCAAAGCCACGGCCTCAACACTGTAAATAGCCCACAATCCTTCCAGCAGGCCCGCCTGCCAATAAAACTGTCACGGCCGGGCTGGCAGCAAGCACCTTCAGGACAGGGGGACAAGCTGTTAAGGTCTGGAGGCCAGCAGGGGCTGCGCTGGCCCCCGCCCCTCTGCTGCACAGGGAACGGATCTTCTTCCCAATGGGGCATATCCGGTTACAGGATCCTGGGAGATGGAGGCTGTGCAGGTGGCTGTCTGTCTATGCTGAGGGGCTATGCCCAGGGAGCCAGCAGGACCCTGGATGCTGGTTTGCCTAGATTGGGATGAATGGTCCTGTAGCCTTGTTTGTCCATTTCTTAGTCATTCATGTCACATCAGACCAGTGACAGGTCCTGTGCACACATGAAGAAACTCCTTTCTCAGAGGGACTTAATAGCTGCAGAGACACAGCATACAAAATGTGAGCCAGCACACACCTGCTATCCTAGCACAAAAATTGAGGCAGGAGGATTCAGTTTGAGGGTAGCCTGGGCTACAAGTGTCAAAGCAGGTCTCAACATACACAAAGTCACACCAATGTGCAATTTACAGCAACTTCTCCCTACTCTGAAGTCCTGGGCATAGGCCGGGAGACATGTTTCACAAACTGTATGTAGAGGCCAGGTAGAGCTAGTGCTATCATTCTGTCAGTTAGGGAGCCTTCTGGATCTTTCTTCTACAGAACAAATGAAAGAGAAGACCCCAAGCAGGGTCAGATGTCAAGCGTGAGCACAACAGCCTGATGGAAATGTGCACTTCACACCCTATGTGGCAGACATGGAAGCTAGACCTGGTGAGATGGTTCTCATCTTCTGGCCTGAGTCCCGTAGGTGTCCCCTTCCTACCATGTACACATGCAGAGCAGGGATGAGGACTCAGAGCTACTGCCATTCATGAGTCACTTGGGGACTTGGTCACTACAGCCAGGATCAGCTGTGTGTCCCACCCCTTCCCAGACTGCCACATACCTGTGCAGATCTGCAGGTGCTCAAGGAGCTCACTGACATGAGTGGGAGGAGTCTGGACGACCATTGATGGGAACCTGTGAGGTGCCCACAGCCCTTGCTGTCTATAGGCACAAGTGACCCTAACAAGAAACACTAGAAACTCCACTGGAAGGGTGAGCTGCCATTCATGGCTGTGACAGTTGGGGAGGGGGTGATACCAGTCTGCCTGCCTTAGGAACATCTGAACCCCTTTCCAAGCTGGCTATGTCACATGCAGGTAAACACTCATACACATAAAATAAATCTTTAAAAACATGTTTTTTTCAAGTAAAAAGGTGTCTGGGGTGTAGCTTGATGGAAAGGAATTTTCTAGCACACACAAATCCTCAATACTATGAAAAAATTGCCACAAAAATGAGCAGCCACATGAGAGGTGACCACATGAGGAAGCCATGTGACAGGCAGGGAACTGAGCACAGCCAATGCCCAGCAAGGAGCACAGCTCCCATAGGACCAAGTTCTACCACCAGCTACGGCACAGATTGGCACATGGACTCAGTCAAACCTTCAGTGACTGACACCTTAGCCCCAAGGGGTCATGAAAGGAGACTGAACTCCAGTCCACACAGGCCATGGGAAGGAGGAAACTTTAGAGTCTGATTCTTGGTGATTCATTCCTGGGCTAGAGACCACAGATGCTCCTCTCGGCAGCACACAGCAGGTCACATGTCCTGTGGACTGGCGCCCACTCTGCAAGCTTGTAGGGCTGGCTCCCATGCCCATTTTCACCCTCAGTAGTGAGGGCCCAGCCCACCTGGGCTCCCAGTCAAGCTAGTGTGATCTGGCAGCCTGCCCAGCTCGTTGCCTCCATTCAGACTGGCCTCTGGCCTCTGCACATGGCCTGCTTCCAGGGCTCACAGGAGCCACCCTTAAATGGCTCCCTCTTTCCACCCCACCTCCCAAAAGAACATCTTTGGGTGGGAGGGTTTCATGCTGTTTTAACTGCACATGCAAGTGCAGATCCTATTTCCTGGGGGTTCACCTCCTGAAGGCTAGAGATCTGGTGTGGGAGTCTGATCTTGCTGTTTGCACACAGACTGCTAGAAACATGGAGGGCAGAAAGCTTGACCCAGGGACAGGGTAGACCCAGACTATGAAACAGTACTTTCCATTACAAGTATCCCAGGAGGAGGCAGAGAGGGACTCAATGTTCACAGGGGATGGCTATGCATAACTGGCACCAGGACAGATCATAGTTTCCCAGGCCATAGGACATACACCAGCTCCAACTTGTATGTAGTGTCATGTGCACACAGTGGGTACGCAATAAAACCTTCATACACTTCTCAGCTGAGGACCCAACAGCCCGCCACCTGTCAGCACATACTAGCTGGTGATCTTGCCCTGTGTAACCACTAAGACTACCAACAGCAGGGCCTAAGCCACATGCCTGGGCCTGGCACCTTGGCCTCTCTGGGCCGGACAGTCTACCTGACACCTCACTCCTGGGAAGGCACCCAGAGGGAGGTATTGGTAGATCTCTGTGGGTCAGAAAATCTAACCAAGCCCCTGATTGACCCATGTGGCTGGTGCAGCCACTGCCTGGCTCTCCTTGTAGCCATTTGAGGCTTCCTGAGAACAAACACTAAATCCTCCTGGCCTGTTCAGCTCCATTCCCATAAATAATAGAGAATCTTTTTATTTACTGACAGGTTGTAAAAGTATCGGGGAGAGTGAAGTGAAGTGAGGGGCTGCTAAATAATAAATGGGCAGGCTCCACCCTCGGCACACCCCCACCCGGTCCCTCTGCCATCACCAGGGCTGCTTCCTCTCATCCAGGAAGGGCTGAGAAAGGTCTCTATATATGGAGCTGGGACTCTCAGGGTGCCAGGTCTAGATCTGGGTATTCTCTTCTGACAGATGTTTGCATGTTCGAAGGTGGGGCACCACCGAAGCCCTTTCTAGACACACACAGACATACAGATGCATACACAGACATACACGGAGACACACTGTACATACATGTACAGACACATACATGGATATAGACATAGACATAGAGATACACGGACACAATCACAGATTCAGGCACACATGGAAAGAGACACAGACACACATAACAGACACAAAATGACACGCAGATAACCCATATACAGACACAACTGTACTCACGTAGATACCTCCCCTGTCTCGTATCTCTCAGCAGGGTGGGAGAGCCAAGGGTTTCTGGTCATAGTTCTGTTTTCCTCAAATGTAAGTTCTTCAGGACCAATGTAAGTCCGGCAGTCAAACAGTTAACAGTCTGAGAAGGAGGCCGCTGGTGGCCCTGGCTCTGATGGGACCTCTCTGCACTGACTGCACAGGCAGCAACTATCAGGGAGAAGTGTGTTAACTGGTAACAGCTGGGGCACGGGGAGCCTGCCCCACCTACCACAGCTATCCTAGGGCTGTGTCACTCCCTGACTCACAGAAATCACACTCAAGAGTGAGGACCTCTGCTGTCCCCATGCCTAGGGCAGCGCCCAGCATGTGAGTGCCCTCCTCCCCCACAGAAGTGAGCCAAAGGCGAGAGACTGGATACTGCTATCATCCCACTTTATAGCTTACAAAATGGAGGCAGGAGCATGTTGAATACTTGTAAGTTTATGAAGGAGCCAGAAGGGGCTTTCAAGAGCTCCAAGAAAGGGGTGTTGGATTTGAGGTAGGTGGGAGCACTATGCCTTGCACTTCGGCAATGAAACAAATGTTGATAATATGACATTGTGAGGCCTGCAATTCACACAGAAGTCTACCATTCTGAAGGCACAAAGACCCTGCTGAGTAGCTGGAGAGGCACCTTGCTTGAAAACTCCTTGGGAAACTCCAAAGGGCTCTGAAATGTAACACACACACACACACACACACACACACACACCACACACACAGAGATTGAGCATGTGCATATACACATGACAGACAGCACACACACAGGTAAGCAACAGAGGTAACTGATTCCACACATGCACAAACAAATGAACATACATGTGAACACACACACACACACACACACACACACACACTATACTTATACCCATGTATACCCACATCAGCTGGAATACTACACATACACATTACATGTGTTCCCACATAAAAGTTCATGTACACATCCCCTAACCATGCAAATACAATCACTAGCAGGCCCAGAGAAATCTTGTTGTTTACCACAAATACCCAGAATAGGCCTTTAAGAAATCTGCTCCCCTTTAGCTTCAGCCCCGTTGTGGCATCTGGAATAGGTCCCTCCCCCTGTTCCAATCTGTATCGTGCATGTTTCATCATTACTACAATGAAATGCCCATAGATGAGTAATCTTACAAAGAAAAGAGGTTTCTGTAGCTTGCAGACAATCTGGTGACAGTGTTTGGTATAGTCCTGAGGTGGTGTAGCTATGTGGGCAAGCCTCTGGCCCCTCTTCTTACATAGCCACTAGGATTAGTCATAGGCCCTGCCTACCAAATCCCAGTGTGTCCCCAAGAGCCCCACCTCTGAACACCACTCACCTAGGATGGCAGAACAGGGTTCAAAGCCAATACAGAGCCCTTGGGGATACACTCAAACTACACCAAACCAGGTGCTCCCATTTTACAGCTGGACAAACTGAGGTCCCAGGTCTCGAAGCAGTGTGCCTGGGCAGTGCAAAGATTGGCCTGGAAACCCTGAGGATACACTATGGCCTTACAATCCCTCCCCTTTGGGAATCAAAATCAACTGATCTGTTGGTGGAGCTTGGGCCTAAGATCCTTGTAAAAAGTAAGTTCTGTGAACTAAAGAGTGATGTCTATTCTTCCAGAGCTCTGAGCTTGGTTCCCAGAGCCACCTGGAACTGCAGCTCCAGGAGATCTGATGCCCTCTTTTGGCCCCCTTGGGCATTGTATTCACAGGTGCACACTGCCCCACAACCAACACACAAATACATATAATTAAGAATAAAAAAACTAGCCGGGCGTTGGTGGCACACGCCCTTAATCCCAGCACTCGGGAGGCAGAGGCAGGCGGATCTCTGTGAGTTTGAG